AAATTGCAATCACCTCCGAACCAATATGCCCAGGCAGAGCGAGGAAGGATACGACGGGCAACAGCGCGCAGTGTCTGCTTCACGAGATGCGAATTAACGATTTGAAGACCCCCTTCACCACCCTGAGCACTTAACATCAATATTCTCCCTTCCTGAATATGAATCGGCTCGATGGTCTGGAATCTACGTGCGAGAGCTTTCCTGACCGCAACCACGACGCCCCCAGCCGCGTGGTCATCACAGAACGAACCCCAGAAACTACAAGCGGGCTGCTCACCCCTGAGATATTGCGAGTCAGCCTCAGACCCGTGAGACCCTTGAATCAAAACAGTATCAGGCCGACCCAAGAGGGTCTTAAAATGGCGATACCTAGAAAGCTGCTTCCAGTGTTTTCCGAAAACGCTCCCAAAAAGACCTGCGGAATTCCAACTCGCTATACTGAATTTATCGGAAGGCAAGAACGGCTGGGACGATGCGCGCCCCACAGGAGGACACGGCGGAGGAGGAAGAGGAGAGGAGAACGGGCAAACGCCAGAGAGAGAAGACGATTCACGCCCGCCTGCCTGCGGATCCACCGCAGACTCATTCATCCTCTGTTGAGGTACAAGAAGAAGTCAATGTATGTTCTGCATCAGGCCGTTCGTCTGCTCGGGGGAGATGCCAAACCACTCAAGGTTCCCGCGATGCGGAACCACCTCCTTGCCAGACGTCGTGTTCTTCACTTCGAACAGCTCGTAAGCACGTGCCTCCGCGCCTTCACCCATTTTGGCGAACAGCACGCCGAGGTGCGGGTTGACGCCCAGTTTGCCGCCAGCGAAACGCCCGCTAGCCATCAGACATGCCAACGTAGGTTCCCACAGGGGAGAGAGCTGCCTCTTCTTCTCACGAATGTGCGCTGGTTGATCTCGCCGAATGCGAAGTACATGGGACATATTGTTTGTGCGATCCAGCCATTTGGTTTCCTGCCCAGACCACAGAGTGTAAAAGTTAGAACATACCGTCTGGTCTTTGAACGCGAGCGAGTAACTCATGGACAAATTGTGCGCAATGACGGTGACGTTCCGTGCGTCTTCTCCGAGGGAGTCCTTCATCATTTCTGCGTGAGCTGCCAGAGCCGTCCTGAGCATCTTGTAGGGGAAGCCGCCGATGTGCAGCCGCAGCGGGTCGCTCTTGTCGCGCGTCGTGCCGCCAGTCGAAGCTGCTGTGGAGGCTGCTGAAGCTGTGCCCACACTGCGAACACTGCCCTCGCCATCCATGAGCTTCCGCAACTTCGAAACCCCTTCCATGCATTCATTGTATTTAGCGTCGACCTTCTCGTCGATGTGCTGCCGAGAGGATGTAACCTGCGGCACCCAGTTGTTCAGGTCATGCAATGCTTTGTCAGTGGCAATTGCTCGCTTGTTTGCTTCCTCTTGTGTTGCTGTCATGGTGGCCAACATCTGTTTCAACTCGGCGAACATAGCTTCGGCCATTGCTGCGGGGAAAGCAGAGCAAAATGCGTTGCCGAAAAACTATCGGACCAACGGCGCGTGCTGTGGCGCACGTCTGTTCAGTGCGAGGTCCTGACCTCGGGAAGCTCGAGCCTCCCCGTCGGCAGCGACCAAGGACCAAACCCCAGGGATAGGTTTGAGCCTTGAGCCAAAATGGCTACGGATGGTGGTGGTGATGATGATGATGGTGGTGGTGATGATGGTGATGACGATGATGGTGATAATGCCGCCCATGATAATGGCGATGACGATGACGATGATGATGATGATGCTGTTGATAGTGATGCTGCTGATGTTGCTGATAATGATGAGGCGAATGATGATGCTGATGATGCTGTTTATGGTGACGATGCGTACGCTGATGATGATGACGGTAGTGATGATGGTGATGAAAACGATGACTGTGATGATGATGGTGATAGTGGTGATGATGATGATGATGATGATGATGATGGTGATGCTGATTATGACAAGATGATAGTGATGATGATCATGATAGAACTGATGATGGTGATTATGCTGCTGATGATGATGACGATGAGTGTGATGCTGATGGTGATGATGATGCTGGTGGTGATGCCGATGGTGATGATAATGCTGATGATGTTGATGATGATGATTATGATGAGTATGGTGATGATGGTGATGTTTACGATGATGATGATGATGATGACGATAGTAATGACAGTGATAAAGATGATTGTGATGATGCTGGTGGTAGTGTTGCTGATAATGGGAATGTCATAAAGACGATGCTTATGGTGGTGCTGAAGATGATGAGAATGATGGAAGTAAGGAGAACGATGCTGATGCTCAGTATGTTCCTGATGATGGTGATGATGATGACGATGATTGTGATGATGATGCTGATGCTGATGGTGGTGATGATGATCATTATGATGCGGATGATGATGATGATTCCGATGCTGATGCTGATGCTGATGATGTTGATGATAATGGTGATGGTGATTGTGATGGTGATGAACATGATGGTCATGAGGAGGGGGAGGAAGATGAGGCGCCCCCCCAGCGCGGCTCTTCAGCAAAACGGAAGGTTCAACTAGGAAGCCTGTCCATTTCCCCGATGATGTCGGGAAGCACATGAGGAGGAGAATAATCAGGGAGGAGGGAGGAGAAAAGAGGAGGAGGAGGAGAAAGGGAAGGAAAAGAAGCATGCGCCGCGCTGCGGATTCAAAACGGAGACCCAACTCACATGAGGGATCAGAAAACATATGATACACACACGCGCATGTTTTGCGCCGGCGGCTAGGCAGAGTGACTGCGCTGGCGGAAAGAGCATGTGTAGGGCATACATATTCGAATTAAGCCGCAGTGCACGCACACGCACACACACACACACACACACACATACACATACACACTGGAGTACTGAAATTCTCGGCCGCATTACGATTCTCCAGGCTGCCGTAAGGAAGCCATCACATGGCCAGGAGGGCCCAAGCGGTCTCGAAGACTGCACCACGAGGTCACGAAGAGTCTCAAGAGCCCAAGACGGCCACAAGTCGCCCCAACATGACCTCAAGATGGCCCGAGATACCTCCAAGATGGCCCCAGGACGGCCCAGGAGATCCCAGGAGAATCCCAAAAGGGCCACAGCATCACCGAAGAGGCTCCGAAGACAAACCAGGAGAACCACGGACGGCGCATGATGGCTCCAGGGATGGGCGCAAACAAACCCTGGTCGTCCAACAGGCAGCGCCGCAACTCTTATTTGGACCGCTTGGCGGGCCGACAAAGAAAAGCGGGCCAGGCAAGGACAAAAACGGGCAGGAGAGCGAGGAGCCGAGGAGCGAGAAAGGGACGGGGAGAGGGAGGGAGGACGACAAAACACCTAAGCACCCAAGGCGGCCAAGAGGGGCCCAAGATGGCCCATGCAAGATATAGACCCAAGACAGACGACGAGGGCCCCCAAAACCCCCCAAGAGACTCATACTACGGCGGTTCTCGATCCTGGGGCCCTCGGCGACGACGAGGACGAAGAAGACGAGGACGAGGAGAACGACGACGACGAGGATGACGACGACGTCTCAATCTCATCTCATCATTTCCTCCCTCCCATCCACAACATCCTACTCTTTCCTGGAGCCCTGCAACGTAACCCAATACCCCACCACATGGCAAACAACAACGTGCCCACGAGAGGCCCCAAGAGTGGGCCCAACACTGAGAACATGGCCGCAAGAACTCTGCAAATGCCTCCATGCCCCTCCTGGGCATCGAACCGCTCTTCGTTGTCGTCCTACGCTTCACCCAACTCGGACAAGCTGCGAGGCCCACACTACGGCAAGTTCGTGTCGTGCCGAATACGGGGTTGGTTTCTGACACCGTGGGGGTCGCTCAACCTTGAACGATCGGCCGTTCCAGAAACGTCACACCATTCAACTCGACCGATTGTGGGCCGCCCGCGGCGTTCGACGTTGAACTCCGGCGACGGGGTCGCCGCCGGTCGACGCGACGCGAACCTGCCGCGCCCTGGCCTGGAGCCAAGAGCTCCGAGCTCCGAAGCATTTGCGTCGGCGGCCAGGCAGGGGCCGCCTGCGCTGGCGGACGAGGCCGACCAACTGGGACACCGCTCGGCAGCGAGCCGGCCAGCGCTCACGAGCGGGAGCCGAGCTCCGCAGCACGGGGGGCGCAGGATTAGCCAGGGGCCTCCTGCACGGGGTCGGAGCGGATGGGGCCGGAGGGTCGCGCCGCATCGCCGCTGCATCGGCGATGCACCGGCGAGGCACTGGCGAGGCATCGCCGAGGTCGGCGGTGCACCCGCGACGTCGGCGTGGGGGAAGTCGGGCTCCACGTCGAGCAGCGTCGGCGACGCATCGGCGGTGCATCGGCGGTGCGGCGCGCTCCTCCGACCCCATCTGGTCCGACCCCATCCTCCTCTCCTCCTCCCTCCTCCTCTCCTCCTCCCTCCTCCCTCCTCCTCTCCTCCGCCTCCTCCTCCTCCTCCTCCTCCTCCTCCCTCCTCCTCCTCCTCCTCCTCCTCCTCCTCCTCCTCCTCCTCCTCCCCTCCTCCTCCTCCTGCCCCTCCTCCTCCGCCTCCTCCTCCTCCTCCTGCCCCCCGAAGAATGTCGGCAGCAGCACGGCACCTCCGCGCGCCGACGGGGCACCGCCCAGGCCTCGGGCGCCGCCAGGGGGGGCTCTGCTCGCCGCGCAGCGCCCCAAAGGGGCCCTGGCGGCGGCCCCCCCTCGCAGCGAGGCTCGCTCGAGGACGCCCGTCGCCTTTCCAAAACCAGGGGTCGCCCCTTGTTTTTTCGTTTTCGTTTCGTATTCGTTCTCCCTCGTTCTGTCTCCGCTCCGCCCCCCTGCTGCAGGACGAGAGATCGGAACGAACACGGCCCACGAGCTCGCCGGAACACCGCTTGGGGTCGACGCCCTGTCCCGAGCTGCTCCTAGGATTCGCTCCGCGACGCCTGCGGGTACGTACGAGACCAAGACGGCCTTCCCCGACGCGGGCGCGCGCCCGCGCGCGGTTGGGGGGGGCAGCGGTGCCCCGCGTCGCCGAGCAGGCCGTCGGCGCCCTGCCCCTCGGAGCTCATGCCGCCGAACAGGACGAGATCCTGGCGGCGCGCGGGGGAGGGAGGGGAGCAGACTGCGAGCGAGAGAGAGAGAGAGGAGTGAGAGCAGGCAGATGACGGCTGACAGAGGGCAGAGACACAGAGGGAGAGCGAGGGAGAGCGAGAGAGAGAGAGAGAGAGCGAGAGAGAGGGAGAGAGAGAGACCCGGCGATGCGGGCGGCGTCCAGGGCGGCAGCGCGCCGACGCGCGCTCACCCCGGGGCCGACCGCCCCCTGACGAAGCAGGGGCTCCCCGAGAACGAAGCCTTAGGCCGGGCATGTCCCCCTACAGGCGGACTTTGGGCGAAAAATTGGAAATACCCCAGATATACTCGCAAATTTCCAAAAGCAGTATGATCATATGTGTACATATATATATATATATGAGAAATGAAAGGAAAAACAAACAAACAAACAAAAACGTTCCCAGACTAATTTCATACTGCTTTTGAATAGTCCCCCTGTAGAGGGACAGGCCCGGTTTAACCGAAGCCCCCCCCCCATGGCGCCGAGGCGACGGAACGGCAGGAGCGGAGCGGTGATAAGAGAGGCCCAGCGGCCCGAGCCAGGGCGAACGGGAAGGCGCCGCAAAAAAAATCGCGCCGGGAGCGGCGGACATCTTCGGGGATCTTCTGACCCGGATCAATTCTTACCAGCCTGGAACATATCCCTATCCCTATGCTGGGCATCTCCTCATCACGATGCCAATCTTAGGGATTCCCTTATCTTTTGAGGGCGCATCCCTAAGATTGTCATCGCCTTTTGGCGTGTCAATCTTAGGGACAGGGACAAGCTCGAGGCTGGTAAAATTCAGACCCGGGTCAGCAGGAAACCAACAACTGCAATGCAAGGAACAAAAAACTGCAACGCAGGTCTTCGCAAACCCGGGTCAACCAATGTGCGCGGCCGCCTCGCGGCCACGACCGGCTCGCGTACCCCGGGTCAGCCAAAGGGGGTCGTCGCAGGATCCTGCAGGATCCGGTGCCCTGGCTGACCCCCGTTTGCATTGACCCCCATCTCTTGAGCCCCGACCTCTGACGGCGCAGCGGGGGGCGCCAAAGCGCCGGACCTCAGAGCTGGAATAGGGACCCGAACTCTATACACCGATGCTTTTTTCGGCCCTGCACTCAAACTTGCACAGGAGAACGGATCCTCGTGTATACGGGATCTGGTGTATACGTTTTCCGTCGTTTCCCTGGAACAACGGAGACACAAATATACACCACACCACCGCGACGTGGTTCGAGACCCTAAAAAATCTTGGAATTGAAAAGCAGCCCACCACTGGTAATGTATATGCTCCAGTTTCCGATGGAAGTCCTGCACCCAGCTCTCGATGTTCGTGTTCCATCCGAGATCTCTGGACTCATCATAGTGTTGTCCTTTGCCCACAACATCAGAACACCATGGTTGAGATCGAGATCCTCGGCAGTCAAATCCGTTGCGGCACGGAGCATCCATGGACCGATATGGAAAACAGACGCTAAGTCGTCGCAGTCCCCTGCTCCGTATCTATCAACAAAGGCCATGAACATCCTTCCAAGAGAAATCCGCCTTGGCTGCGGGAACACATGATGACGCCCGAGCTCGCTCCAGATTTCGATCAAACGCATCCGAATATGTATCACCGATTTCCGTAACCAGTCATCGTCGGAGCCTTCTGGGATCACATGCAAGACACCCTCGCCAGGTGGGTTTGTCGCGATGTCAGTGTACAATGAAACCTCGGCTGCAAAACGTCGCAACAAATCTTCAATGTGGCCGTAAAGATGCAGAAGCACAAGTGCTGCTTGTTCAGGATTGGATGCATGCTCATGGGCATCATCGGATGAAGAATCTATATCATAGAGTTGGATTGAAAGATCAGTCATGAAAATCCTGATCGTGTGTGATTGTGTTTTGGGGCATGATGGCATGGAGTCTTGCACTGAATGTTCTCGCGCCGAACGTCGCCTCCACACTTGAATTTGATCGGAAAGAGTATGCGAAACCAATGGTATCTGACTGCCCTCGACCTTACCATCCACCTAATGTTCGACAAAAGACGGGATGCCGCATGAGTAGACCACAACAGACGGGATGCCGCTTGGGTAGCCGCCCCCTTGATATGAGGGCGTCGGCACCGTGCAACACCGCACGCAAGGAACTCCTACGGGGGCTAGAGCGAAACAGCGCAGCCTTTGCCAGGCGTCGAGCGGGGCACAGCATCAGATTTTGGTGTGAAGCGGGCCAGCCCAATGCATGTTGGGCCAGCGCGAGGTCGTGGAGCAAGACTGCTCGGCTTGCGATCGCTCGAACGTCCGTTCCAGGTGCAAGCTTCTGCGGGACGGGAAAATGACCACAGCCACTGCTTCTTGTTTGCGCCGCCTTCCAGCCGGCCGAAAAAGAAGCAGTGGTTGTGGTCATTTCCCTGGTGCCAAGCTTGACGACAATGACCACTGCTTGTTTCTGCTGGCTGGAAGACGGCAACAAAAGAAAAGCAGTGGCTGTGGTCGTTTTCACGTCCCGTAGCTTCGGTTCCGTGCGCGTATTTCTTCACTCGATGACCCAGGATGTTCCTCGAGGGCCCTCGCCGACAAAGGCACACGCCCGAGCGATGCCCAATGCTCGGGGCCTCCCCCGCGGTCGCCAGGCCGGCCGTGGGTGGCGGCGGGAAGGACGGCCGACGGAGGGCCGCCCACGCCGCCCGGGCGCGGTGGAGTCGGGCGCTCGGTGAGCCGTCGCCCGTGGCGCCCGGAGGCCCCTGGCGCAGCTGGGGCCTGCGGCGGGGGCGTGGCTCGCCATCGCTCGGGACGTCCGTTCCCGGTGCACGTGTCGCTTGCGTGCGCTTTTCGCACGATGAGCCCAGGTGCCCCTCGGTGGCTCTCGCCGAGAATGAATGCACCCACGTCCGAGCGGTGCCGAGGTGGGAAGGAGTGGCAAGTTAAGCGCCCAGCGGCAGTCGCTCATGAGAAGGAGCACGCGCGGCAGGATGCGGCGTCCGAAGGTCGCCATGAGTTACCAGCCTCGAACGCATCCCTATCCCTAAGATTGACACGCCAAAAGGCGATGACAATCTTAGAGATGCGCCCTCAAAAGATAAAGGAACCCCTAAGATTGGCATCATGATGAGGAGGTGCCCAGCATAGGGATAGGGATATGTTCCAGGCTGGTAAATGAGAGGGGAGACCTGGGGCACGGCGGTGGATACTCGCCTGGCGTGCTGCTGGTTGGCGGGAGGGTGGGGCTCACTCGGACCGGGGTGGGGGCGCCGGCGCCTGGCAGGTCGCGGCGGGTCGCGTCGGCGGACGGGTGACCAGCGCGTGGTGCCACGCTGACCGTCGGAGCTGGCAAACCCGTAATAGCCCGGGGGGCTGGAGGCACGGCAGCCTGCGCGGGCGCGGGTGCGTCCGCGCCAACGGCGCCTGCGTCAGCAAAGTAAGGCCGGCGTCGGCAGATTTGGGGCGGTTGCCGCGTGGCTGGCGGCTCGGACGTACCCGCCGGTTTCCTGTTTGCGCCATGGTGGGGGTGACGGGTCGTCATCGTCGTTGCCGATACGACCACCGAGACCGGAGGGGCCGTTGTCCTCCTTGTGGGGTGAGGGTCCGCGCGGGTTTCCCCCCAGAGGGCGTCGAAGTCTGCTGGCATGCCCGCGAGGTGGGGGCTCACTGAGGGGGTTGTATACAGTCGGGGCGCTGACCTAAGGAACCAAAAATTAGGAACGAGGCCCCTTTCTTCCGTAAGTTAAACTTCCATTTCCTATCGAAAACATAAGGGAAACCTGAGGCAAGCTGCGAAACACGTAAGGAACGCGGAGCCCCTCCCCAACGAAAAGGGTTCCTTCTTCAGGGCCCCGACTGTATGGGCCTTGCAGTCAGTCTCGGCCGCAAAGTAGCTGGCCCTGCGGCGCGGGAGCGGAAGTGTGCAGACGTCTGTCGCAGATGGCGACGTCCGTCGTGTGAAGCGTGACGGCCAGAGGGCGGCGTCGCCTGGCAACGTCGATCCCTTCGCTGAGTAGGTCGTGGAGGCCAACAAATTCCGCGGCCAAACGATCAGCGTGGCGGTTGAAAAATTCGGCCGTGTGAAAAATGAGACTGGCGTGAACGCCCGCGTCTCTGAGATGACAAGAGAATTTTCGGCGGAGTTTATGACAATAATTACATAGAACTCATTCGGTGGAAGGCTGAGTTCCGTCACGGAAAGCTGCGAATCCGTCGACGACAACTTGGTCACCAACGGAAGCGTGGACTGGTCTTGGCTGCCGACGACAGCTTGGCTGTCGGCGCCCTCCCTTTGCGAGCTCATGCCGCCGAACAAGACAAGATCCTGGTGGCGCGCGGAGGAAACGTGCAAAAGAGGGAGAGAGAGAGAGAAAAGGAGATGATGCAGATGACAGAAGACAAAAACATGGAGAGATAACGAAAGAAGATGAGGGATATAGACAGAGAAAAAGAGAGATGGAGCAAAAGAGAGAATATATATATACATATATAGAGAGAGAGATGGAGAGACATACAAAAGAGAGAAGGATCATACATTACTAGAGGCGGAGATCCACATACGTGCATATCATACTCCTGTCACGTCTCACTAGGGTACTCTGTCTTACAACATCTGGGTGCGAGAGCGAGTCCGCATAGACGACATACGCGGCAATGACGACGACGACGACGACGACGACGACAGCGACGACTCCAGTGACGTCCTCACCTTCGCGACACCTTTTAGGAGAGAAAAGAGAAGGAAACTCCAGTGGAAGAGCGACAGGGACTTCCTCCTGCCGTCCTCCCCGTGGCAACTCGGGCAACCGCGCACGTCGTTGCTGCCCCCGCTCTCTGGCGCTCTCCTCGCGGCACCCCTGCTGGCATTCGGGTGCCCACGTGCCACGCCGGCTCTGTCGCGGCAGCCACTCGCGCGAGCCTCCGTACGAGGGAGTCTGACCGTGAAGGATCCGAATGTGAACGAATCGGGGTGTGACTAACCAGCCTCGAACGTATCCCTATCCCTAAGATTGACACGCCAAAA